TATGCCGACTACGATGCCGACGAAACGTTTGAGAATGTACCAATTTACTGTTTGATGCTGGGAATCATGACAACTACTATTGCAGACGACTTCGGACTTGGTGCGTTCTATTAAGTCGCCCTGACAACAAGACTATGTTGCGAAAACGAGGTCAACCCATTTCTAGAAAATCTTGTCAAAGTTCCGAACAATAGGCCATAGTTGTTATATTTTCTTAGTGATTTATAGCATTTGTAAAGAGAACAACAATTTGTAATTAAAAGGATGCGAAATGCCTGTAATACTGATTCGTTTACGTTTGCGAGAATTGCAGTAATTTTTACCAACCTGAAATATTTTCTTATTATAACATATTCCTGTAAGCACAAAATTTGTATTACTTCACTATGCAGGTATGCAGCACTGATAGCGCTATCTCTTCATCTACTTCAAACCCTTCTTCACCATTTGTACCTGATGACCCGTTGATACTGGGCCTTGCGAGTCTTCCGCAGTGTTCGTTGCACTCCCCTTCGTCCTCGCCTTCAACGTTCAGTGATGCTGCAAACTGCTCTGGCATTAACTTTCATAGCCAAAATCAGATAAACCAACCATGCTTTGGTACCATTGGAACTATTGAAACCAGCCGGCCTAGTATCTCCAGCTCCTTTACCTCCCTTAGTTTTGACAACTGCGGCTTTATTTCTCGCTACGAAAGCAATACGGCTACCGTGGCAACAGTGATCCCGACTTCTTCATGCATCAATTGCACCTCTGCCAACTCGACCTTGACTGTTAATTGCTCCGAAAAGAAGAGCTCTCTAACGGGAAAAACAGAAAGTTCCTTGGCTAAATCTAACGATAGACATATTTCCTTTGACCCAACGACCGAATTGAATACGACCCTCCAACTTTCGTCGACCAGCACTGAGACCCCAAAGGTTCTCTCCTCCGGCACCTTCTCCTCTGCCCCATCTTCCTCTTCCTCTTCCTCCTCCTCCTCCTCCTCCTCTTCCTCCTCCACCTCCTCTTCATCCTACTTCTCTTGGTCATCTACCAACTCAAAACAATTGCAGCAATCTAAATTATTTACTCTTATCAAGACAACATTGAACCGTTGGTTTGACTCCACTCGATCCGGCAAATCGACAGGTGCGACTCGAGGCACATTAGTTGCATCACGTCTCTCTCGTCGGGGTATTGCTAACTTCCGGCAGATTGCACAGGCTGCAGTCAGCGTGATGGCAGAAGAGGCTGATGAAGATGCCGAAGTCATGTCGCAGGAGGAGTCGGAAGCAAGCCAAATTACCACAGCGGCTACGGAGTCCATTGAGAGCAAGCAGAAAGAGGTGATCGACAAATTGTACGAAAGTACAACTCACATCTTTACGGACGAAGATGCCAACTGCCCTTCGCGATATTCCCTTGCTAGTAACCAGGAGACAAGAGCAGTCTTCCAGTCTGGAGAACAAGGTTTCGACCTGCCTGTGTGGTCCAACTCCGGCTTCAAGGAAATGGAGAAGTCATCAAGTCGTCCTTGTCTGCTAAAAGCTGGAGAGTCTGACGGGCATTTTGATCCGTTTGGTGCAGATAAAGATAGAAAACGGATCAACACGACGGATACTCTTTCAAGTATGAATCATATTTACGAATAGGCCAGTGACATTATTTATCTCGATCTCTTAACTTGTGAATTCAGAATAGCAGTGAGGCAAGTGACCTTTGAAATACTCTATAAACTGAAACATCTCATACCCATTACCCTCGGGCCATAGCTTAAAGTTGCATAACAATTGCGTCACAAACAACTAGACTGACCATGGGAGATCGGGATCAGAAAATCTCAATTCGCCTAGGTCTGAGTTCATAATATGTATTCACTCCATTTCGTCTAAAGTGATGAAGGACTGGTAGTAGAATTTTCCCACAATGATATGAGTTAAGCTGACGTTTCCATTTAATTTCA